ACAAGAAGATGGAAAGATATCCCACACTCTTGGATTGGAAGAATTAACATTGTGAAAATGTGCATAGTACCCAAAGTGATCTACAGATTCAGTGCAATCCTCATCAAAATTCCAATGACACTTTTCTCTGAAATGGAAAAAATGATCCTAACATTTATATGGAATAACAAAAGACCATGAATAGTTAAAGCAATCCTGAGCAAAAGAAATAGAGCTGGAGGCATAACACTACCTGACTTTAAACTATACTACAAAGCTATAATAACCCAAACAGGATGGTACTTGAATAAAAACAGACACACAGATCAATGGAATAGAATAGAGAATCCAGAAATCAACCCATACACCTACAGCCATCTGATCTTTGACAAAGGCACCAAGTCTACACACTGGGGGAGAGAGTACCTCTTCAGCAAATGGTGCTGGAAAAACTGGATCTCCATATGCAGGAGAATGAAACTAGACCCATACCTCTCACCATATACAAAAATCAACTCAAAATGGAATAAAGAATTAAATATACAGTCTGAAACAATAAAACTCCGTAAAGAAAACATAGGGGAAACACTCCAGGAAGTAGGATTGGGTACTGACTTCATGAATACAACCCCAAAAGCACATGCAACCAAAGGAAAAATAAACGAATGGGATTATATTAAACTAAAATGCTTCTGCACAGCAAAAGAAACAATGAACAAAGTTAAAAGACAACCAACAGAGTGGGAAAAAATATTTGCAAAATATACATCTGACAAAGGATTAATATCCAGAATATACAAGCAACTCAAACAACCTCACAGCAAAAACAAACAAACAAACAAAAACAAACAAGTAACCCTATTAAAAAATGGGCAAAGGAGCTGAATAGGCATTTTTCCATGGGGTATATATAAAGCAAATGTATTTCACAGGGCCTGGTTTTCCAAAGCCTTGCAGTTTCAGGTTTAGCCTAACTTCTTTTTTTTTTTTTTGTCCTTTTTGTGACCGGTAAGGGGATCGCAACCCTTGGCTTGGTGTCGCCCGCGCTGCGCTCAGCCAGTGAGTACACCAGCCAACCCCATATAGGCTGCGCTCAGCCAGTGAGCGCACCGGCCATCCCCATATAGGATCCGAACCTGAGGTGGGAGCGCCACTGCGCTCCCAAGCGCCGCACTCTCCCGAGTGCGCCATGGGGCCGGCTCTAGCCTAACTTCTTAAAAGTACATATAAAATGTTGACCTTACAAAGACAGGAAATTTTCCCCAGGCTATAGTCTCTGTTGTAAGATAAAGAATTGTAACACAGCAAGGCTGCTGGCCAAAGGACAGACAAGTTACTGATTGATATGTAAAGATACTGGGAAGCTGCTGTAGGGAGAATGTTTGCTAAGATCAAGCTTTTGGTGGTGGATTGACTTAACCTCTTGCAAATTGCATTATGGAATGTCACCTTGCTTTTGCTGAATGTTACCAGCCTATATTGTTAAACTATAACACAACCTACATTCTCCTCCTGTAACTCCCTGGTCTGGAGAATAAATGCAGGAAGAGAACCCCAATACATGGTTAATTTCCCAAAAAGAAGGAATGCCTCTCTCTTGAGGGTTCTGGGAGATTAACCCCTTCGGGAATTCTCACTGCTCAGAAGAAATGGGCTTTGAGTAACCCTTTGCGGCTCTATCACCCAGGGGAAGAAAGGTGACAAATCCATGGGAGGCAAAGCAACAAAATAGAAAGATATACAAATGGCCAACAGTCACATGAAAAAATGCTCAACATCAGTCAGCATTCAGGAAATGCATATCAAAATCACAATGAAATGCCATCTCACTCCAGTTAGGATGGCTAATATCCAAAAGACTGAGAATGATAAATGGTGGCGAGGTTGCAGAGGAAAAGGAACCCTCCTACACTGTTGGTGGGACTGCAAAATGGTGCAGCCTTTACGGAAAATGGTTTGGAGGTTCCTCAAACAATTACAGTAGATCTACCATGACCCATCTATTCCATTGCTGGGAATATACCTAGAAGAATGGATATCATGTCGAAGGGATACCTATACTCCAGTGTTTACTGCAGCACTATTTACAATAGCCAAGAGTTGGAACTAGCCCAAATGTCCACCATCAGATGAGTGGATACAGAAAATGTGGTATATCTACACAATGGAATACTACTCTGCTATAAAAAAGAATGAAATACTGCCATTTGCAGCAACATGGATGGACTTAGAAAAAATTATATTAAGTCAAATAAGTCAGGCACAGAAAGAGAAATACCACATGTTCTCGCTTATTTGTGGAAGCTAAAAATAAATAAATAAATACACAAATAAATGGGGGAGGGGTGGGGAAGAAGACACAACAATCACAATTCCTTGAACATGTTAAGACAAGTGAACAGATATGATGTTGATGGGTGGGAGAGGAGAGGGAGGGCGGAGGGAGGAATCGGTAAAGGGACATGAAAACCAACTACATTGTATATTGATAAAATAAAATAAAATAAAAAAATCTGTATTTTTTAAATTTGTTAACTTGTATCTTTTAATAACACAAGCCTACCTAATAATTTAAAGACATAATGAATTTGTAAATAGAAAATGAAAACAGCACTCTCTTTAGGAAGAACACTGTAATTGCAATTTTTAATAAACTAGAGAAAGGCAAAGACCTTTCCACCACCTCAGAATGGCACAGGAACTCATGTGCAGGATAACGGTGCTGTGACATCTGCTGTCACTGTTTCGTTCAGATTCAGTCTCAGGAGATTTGCTCAGTTCCACATAGACCTAGACTTGCAACTCAAGTGAACAAGTCCTGGGTGGTGGTTTGCTCCTGTCAGAGAATGTAAACACTGATGTAGCTGATGCAGTTTTCTTGAAACCAAAATGGGGGTATCTATTTTTTTTAAATAGAAGAAAATACATAGCTTTATGAAGTGAACATGTATTTAAAGCTAGAATAAAAATTGCTGAGTTTTATCCTGCTATATGTGTGAATGGTGCTCTGTAGTTATCTAAGAATGCAGATCTTGCTCAGAGAAGTTTAAATATGATGCAATGCCCAGACATAAATATTTTCAAATCATAATGTAATACAGATTAGAGGCTAATAGAGATAAATTATTACAGAAATGCACTCAGTATTGTACAGTTTGAAAATTTGTATCAACCATCTCTAAAACATATTTATTTTACATTGACCAGAACATGGTGTAATTACTCTAGAGTCCTTCTATATCTGGGTGCCAGCATATCTCTGATAGAGTTTCTGAGTCTGGGAATTTTCAGCATAGTAAACTGTGTAGTTGAAAAGCTT